TGACATTTCAGCGTATATGTTCGTGATGATTCTCTCAAATCTTTGTAGTGGGCGTTGGGTGTCTGTTTCAATGTCAGATCGAATCTGGCTTTATACTTTTGTTCCATACTGACCTCGACGGGAGTTGTGTAAGGGAAAGGGGCTCGGGCGATGCAACGCCAGTTGTCTTCTCTGCGGAGGCATCTTGATAGTTTGTCTAGTCGAATCTAAAGAATTGACAGCTACCAATTTTTGATCCCAATGCCTCACTTAAATATGTTCCAAAAAATGCCTGAGTATTGCTGCCGTGGTCGCCAAAGGAGATTGTCTGCTTGTTATAGCATTACAGGCTCCTAGGATTGGGAGGGTGTACTCCTGGGATTGTGAGGGCGTACTCCTGGGAGCGATACGGCTCCCAGGATATGGTCTGACTGTTCCTTGGAAGCGGCCCACCTGCTCCTGGGAGATATGCTGGCGGGGCACTCTTCAGTATGCCTGTCATACGTCCTGTGCACGATATTCGACATTCTTAGGAGCGGTGTCCTTCATCTGTGAGAATCAATTGACGGACCGTCTTTAAGTATGTATTTAATTTGTGACAGTGGTGTCCTGCCTCCGTTAGGCATCCCTGAACCTCTACGTTGCTTAACTGAATCTGGCTTGGTTTCTTCTGCATGACCAACTTCCGATCTACAGTTTCAACTTTAGAATGATAGTGAGAATAAAAAAGTAAATTGTAAGAGTCTTGTTTGGTAGAGGTAGTAGGCGTCGTGGTAGTTTTACCGGCATTTAGCTCCTAGGACCCATCTATCTGTTCCCAGAAGTTCAGAAGCTCCTAGGAATCCCTGGGCCGCTCCTAGGGCACTCAATTAGTCGGGGTAACTCGCAACAAATAGAGAGCAACTAACAAGCATCTGAGCCCTCTATTGCTTACATGTTGTGAATGAGATGGGTGCATGATGTCAAAATCTACAGCTTTTGCAACAGAGGCTATCTAGTAGACACCGCAACTGCTATCTTGAATGTAATTCCAATCCAAACTCCCTTCCTGCTGACCCCATGACCACAAGTCAGTCATTGAGTTATGCACATCTCAGCTCAAGTGGAAGCGCCTCTGGCCACCGCGCTGCTTCTTGCCAGCTTCGCACTTTTCGTGCTCTCTCGTCGAGCAGTCCAGAAAAGCCGATTACACCAGACACTCGACCTCGCCGTATCTGCACCGAACCTTGTTCTGCTAGCAGTACACATGGGCTTGAGCTGGAGCAAAACGTGTGAAACTGGGAGGGAAGTAATGATCGGCGTATCCAGTCTATTCCCCTTTTTACTTGTGGTACGTACCATCACGCCGTGAGTCGGTTACACGTTAACCGTCAACGGCAGTATTTCCGAATAAGCGTTTTTCTACGGAGCCTGCTTAGTGCACCATCTCAGTTGGTGATGTGCTTTCCACTGTATACGGTTGTGTCGTGCTTGATCAAGATTATGGCCACGACAGCGGGTACTTACATTTATCCACCTCTGCGAATCGTCGTGCTCTTCTCTCTCTTCCTAGATAATCTGGGCTTGGTTGCCTTCTTGTGGTGGCTAGATGGACATACGACTGCCAATTCCCGAACGCGATCACAACTGCGTTGCGCTTTGTATTGCATGATTGGAGTGGCAGTCGTTCTTCTTCTAATTGCAGTCTTGGGGGCCGCTTTATCCTGTTGGCTGCTAGCGCTAGAGGTAAATTCTTGCTTTACCAGGTCAACGCCATTATTTGCAGTCTATTCTGACATTTACAGCTTCAAATATTGATCGTCACTGTTTGGATGATTCCATCATATTTCGCCGTGCAAAATGCTGGAGCCTCAGTCGGTGAGCAATTGACATTTGCAACATCCTAGGCTACCAACAAATTCACGGCACACACGATCAAAGACTTTATTGGTGGGCTATCACAAAATTGCTATCGTCGCGCATTTAATTGCCAAGAAGTCAGCCCCGCGGCTCCAGGACAAGTTTCATCCATTCCGCGCAAACATCAACCTCTGGGAAACTCATCTTCCGGCAAAATGGTCAATTCACCGACCGACCGTTCGCTCCAAACTTTGAGCACACCGATGAGCTTTCCCCGGACTTCATCCAATGCATCGTCGATGGCATGCAAGCGAGCAACCTGATCATGCTGGCGGTGCTTCAAATGGTTCCCTTCGTTGCACAACTGAATATTTCCAGCTCGCAGCTTTTCGTTTGCCGCTTCAATCTGCTGACTATCTACATGCTTGGAGACGCAAGACTCCCACAAGCGCCGATATAGTCCAACCAGACGTGCAGCCTGGAATGCAAGCTTGGGATCTTCTTCTTCAAGCTGCTTCAATATCTCAAGCACGGGCTGGAAGGGCTCAGCGGCCAATTTATCCTTCTCGGTGTCGCGTTTCTGGGTGTAGGGGGTCAGCGGTGTTGTCTGCGGTCATTTTTTCTTCTTACCGGTTGCTGGACTTCGTAGCTGGACGTCGTAGCATCCTCAGTCCAGCTGAATTGTGTGCACGGCGCTGCTTCTCCTTGTCCGTCCGCCACCTCTGGTGATTTGCTGGGATTCTCCATTGCTAATCTTATCGATGAAAGATGCTGCTGGACATTCATCCCGTGGATCAACGTCTCTTTATACTATGAATGGCCTACTCTGTTGAAGGAGATGGGAACTAGACAAGGCCCGGCAAAAACTGCCCGTGTATGTTTAACAGACCCTCAACTATATGCGCCTGTCCAGCTTGAAACGTTCGCTCCATGTATATCCGACCAGCGTAAATTACCCTCAGAAACTTGGTGTTGGCCTTTAATATTAGGACCGTTGACAGGTCGCATTTCCTGCTCACCGGCATCTCCGTTATTAGCATAAGTTTGTACCGATGCTCACCCTCGGGCTGGGGGCTTATCTAGGTAGCCCACTTTCTGTTACATATAGTTACGGCTCTATTGTACAGGGTGTGTGTGTGTTTGTGTGTGTGTGTTTCATTTACGTGAACTGACCAGCGGTCCATCAGCCCAACCTGGATCTGTTGGGATTCGACCATCTCCATGTTGTTGTTGAATGCTACTACAGCGGCCTCTGAATGGCCGTCGCGTCCTGAGGCGTCCGAGTAGACGACAATGTCTGTTGTTGAGCGGATGGCCTCGGCCTGTTCTATCGCTGTCTCTGGGTTTGAACTGACTTCGATCTCCACGAAGGGCTCGAGGCGCCATGGTGCCAGTGGCGGTGGATCGATTGTCTCTAGTTCGTTGAGCCTTTCGAGGTCCATGGTCTTCAGCGCTTCTGCCAGTGGGAAGCGAGCATACGACCCGATATTGTTTCTACGTTTTTGAGCTCGCGAGAGAGTCTCCCAAATAGGATGTTCCCGCGGTTGTGTATGGAGGTTTGTAATTGTGCGTTGCGCTCGGTGGCGAAGGCGGAGATGGGTGGGAAGGATATGTGCTTCTACTTCGAGGGTTGTTGTAGCTACCGTTCTGAATGCCGACAGGATGCAAACCAGTGAGGTTCTCTGTACTGTGTTGAGGTGTCGAAGGTGGGTTTTGTCTCTGAGTGGATCGTGCCAGACGTTTGATGCATAATCCACGAATGGCGTGACGCATGATTGGTAGAGCTGTCGCATCTGTTCTGGGCGCAGATGTCGTAACCCGCCCAGAGCAACAGTGACTTTGGTTGCGCGCTTAATCGCTTGCTGCACGTGTTCTTTCCATCGCATTTCCTGGTCGAAGCTCACACCCAGTAACTTGGCTACGGGAGAGGGTGAGACTGCTGTGCCGTTCACTACTTTTGACCCTGTAGGTGCTCAGCTTTCTTTCTGGTTAGGTGGATGAGCTCGGTCTTCTGAGCTGCGAAGCAGGACCCAGTTTTGCGCGCCCATGCCTCGATGCGGGGGATGTCTTCGGATTGAATCTTTGCCAGATTCTCCTCTGCTGAGCGACCCACTCTCCAACGAAAATAGTCATCTATAAATGCCGAGGCGCCACCGTGAAGGGTGACGGGTTGGTCCACTAAGTCGGCGTCGAAGAACGCGAAGAGTATGGGGGAGAGGGGGGAACCTTGTGCCAATCCCGCGTTTTCTAACGGTGATACTCCGGTACAGTAGTCGTCAAATCCTATGCTAGCGTATCGTTCGCTCATAAAGCTCGCTATCCATTTTCTGGCTATGGCGGGGATTCCTCTAGCTCGCAAGCAAGCATTGAGACTTGCCTGTTGAACTCCGTTGAAGGCTCCTTTCAGGTCAAAGGAGACAAGAGTCACCACTTTGTGTTTGTACCATGCTCGGTCGATTGCGTTTGACAACACCAGCAGGGCCTGCTCGGTGGTTCTTCCTCGCCGTCCACCAAATTGAGTATCTGGTAACATTCCATGTTTTTCTGCGAGGTATGAGAGTCTTCGGGCTATCACGGCTTCGAGAAGATTTCCTAGTGTGTTGAGGAGTGAGATGGGACGGTAGGCCCCAGGGACCGAGTAATCTGGCTTCCCGGGTTTCCGCAGCACCACGATTTTTGCGTTCCGCCATTGTTTCGGGTGGTACCCCAGACTTAGTGATGCGTTGAAAATCCCGGTAATGTTATCTTTCAGGTGTACCCATAACTGCTTCCACACGAGCATCGGCAATTTGTCTTCGCCTGGTGCGGTGG